AATTAACTGCGATATATTATAGTCTTTTATACATCTCAAGGCTCTGCTACAAAAAGTTTATAATTTATACAGATTCGTATAGTGCTCTTAAATCAATAGAAGCTTTTCCTATTACTCAAATCCAGTAATAGTGGATATTCTCAAAATACATATAAACTTAATGAATCGTGGGTATGATATCCTGTACTGCTGGGTTCCCGGGCATGTGGGAATAAAAGGGAATGAGCTGGCAGATATCACAGCAAAATGTGCTGTTGAACTGTCCAGTCGTCTCATCCCTTTTGCAGACATTTGTTGTGTTGTGAAACAAAAGATCCGAAAAAAAATGGCAACAACTTTGGGATGTTCAGCTTCAAAATAAATTAAGACATGTAAAACCTAGAATTGAGCACTGGGAATTAACCAAAAATCGTAAGGAGGAAGTTCTTTTGACTCGCCTCAGAATTGGTCACACTAGAGTGACACATAACTACCTTTTAAAAGCTGAAAATGAGCCTGTTTGTTTTAACTGTAATGTTTGTTTATCTGTTCGTCATATTTTAATTGAGTGTCCATGTTTTAATAGTCTTCGCCAGAAATATTTTACCTCTCGACCGTTTAATCGGAAGAGAGGTCAATTCTAATTTATTTTATTATTTAAAAGATATTGGCTTTTATTACCAAATGTAATTTGTTTTGAAGACTGTCTCTTGAATTTTAATATGTGCTTTTAACCTGTGTTTATATGACTTCATCCTCTGGATTTGGTACATTTATCTACTTGTTTTTATTTATTGAATTTTAATGTCATCAATTGTAATCATCTTATCTTTTGTTTGGCGCGTCATAATCATCTCTGGTTTTGCGCCATAATCACTCACTCACTCACTCACTATGCCAAAACGTAACTGAAGTTGTTGCAAAGCTTTGTTGTAACTATCACCACCCCAAGGGAAAAGCTTTTAATTAACTCTTCGGCAGGTGATCCTCTTTTCATAGATTGTAATAAATATGCAAACTTGTCATCATTATCCAAATTACAATCACCATCTATCTTTTTAAATTAACGCAAAACCCTAACCAATTGTTTACATTACCATCAAAAGTCGGCAATTTAAGTTTTGAATAACAAAGAATTGTACTCTGTGAAACAGACATATCAGCAGCCATTAAAACTGCTCATCTTCTTATTCAAAAGGTTAACTAACTCAGTTTCTATTATTCTCCATTTATCTATATAAGTTTCTGATTCATCAAATTCTTTGTTAATTATATCCTCACTTTTTTCAAATTTAAAAAGGCTCTTCTCTAATCGTTTGTTCAACTTCTGGCATTGGTTTCACTTTTTCTTTATTTTGTAATTTTTTTACTCTTGGTTAAATTACTCTCATCTTTCTCAAAATTGTTTGAAGCTCTAATAAAGAATCTTCTATACTCAGAGCATTTAGCTTTTAAAGCATCCATAGTAAAAATACAATTCTAAACAATGTTTACTTACAGGTAGAAATGTAATAGGGCACCCAATGTTTCCTATAAGTAAATGGGTATAGCCCTATTACACTTCCATTTTTATTAATTTAGAATGTAATAAATAAATGTTTACAGTTGGTACCTTTGCACTTACAAACTTTGGAGTTATTTCCAGAATTTTGATAGTACAGTAGAATTCCAGAAATCCGCAAAGCTTGGGACCAAAGGTTGTGCAGATTTGAGGACAGAAAAGATAAATCATAATATTCAGACTAAAAGTGCAAAATAAATAAGGTGTATTAGATACATTTAATTAAATTATTATACACTATTACAATAATTTATTATGTAAATTAATTATTACATATATAATTTGATTATATTATATTAGTATTCATTTACATTAGTGCTTACAGGGATATTTAAAAGCATTAGGGATGTATTCAATAGACATACCCACTACCCACTACCGCTGGTTTACATTTGTAAGTTCCAGCTGCGTTGCTGCATATTAAAATGGTAACTCTTAGCATCTTTCACCCCTGACAGTGCACTTTCTTTGCTTGTCACAAATGTCTTTCTTGGCAAACATCGCCAAAAAAGTGCAGTCTCGTCCATATTAAAAACCTGTTCTGGGCTAAGATTTTCTTCTGCCACTAACATAGAAAATTCTCAATAAAAACTCCTCTGCAGCATCTTTATCTGCTGAAAGTTTTCCCCCGCATGCTCTAGATAATGTATACCATGTCTCTGTTTAAACCTGTTCAGCCAACCGCTGCTGAAATTGCACAGCTCCTCTATTTTTAAATCAGCATGAATCTGCTTCGCCTTTTCTTTCAGGAACAGTCCTGAAATTGGTACCCCATCACTCCGCCGCTGCCGGAACAACTCGTACAAGACAGCATCGAGGTTTGCTGATTTTGCCTCATGCAAAGATTTCCGGTTTCAGATTCCGGTGTTAGAATCACTCTTTGCTGTAAAATTTCAACAGTTTTTCTTTATTTTTCCGTATATCATACACAGTCCGTGTCGCTATTCCTACGATTCTGCTATAAAGCGAGGAGTAGCACCTGCCTCCATCTTTCGCAGAATTTCCACTTTTTGCATCACCATCAATGCAACGTGTTTATGTTTTTCAATGTTGCAAGCAGTAAAATCATGAGTGCGTTTTTTATCTGTCATTTAAGTGCTGAAAAGGGCTGAAATTTAAAATATTCTTAAATTATACACAAAATATACGGATAAAAAAACGGCAGCACTAAACAATCTCATGAAATAACAAAGTTTAGAAAATACAACAACATGAATCGTGAACTTGAAATAAAGAGTTGAGTTGAATCGTCTGCTTTTTTACCTCGATGCAGATTGCAGGGGAAAACACTTTTATCATGATGTCAATAATTTGCTATTTCCATTATGACTCATTATTATTCGGTAATTATGATGTCATTATTTGGTAATTATGATGTTATTATTCAGTAAGTATTTTTTCTTTGATATTTCATACTCTATGTTGTGGGTTCTGGAGCCTATAAACTTAATGTTTATATTTTAAGAGGCAACGCGGATTTCAGGTCGGCGAATTTTCGGTATTTGACTGTACAAATTTTATTACAAATACAATTTTCTTTTTTGCAGAATTTTATCATAATATATAATTAATCATATTAAATCTTTAGGATCTTTCTTATAATAGATCATATTTTTCATATTTCATGTTTTGTAGTGTATGTTTGTATATTCATAATTCCTAATGGTAAAATTTATTTGTAATTCACAATAGAATTATAATCTGTGAGGTTATAATTATTGGAGTTATTGGGTAACTGAGCTGTATTTAATTAATTAGCACAAAGTTTTTCTCCTCTGGGTGAAAGGCACATCATGCTATTTTCTATTTTCTTTCTGAAATGTTTATTCTTGATTGCAAATTTAAGACGAGCATTTGCATTTGAGGTAGGCAATTTAATATGAAATGGTATGGTAATATGAAATAGGTCTATGTCCTGTGAGAAAGTAATTTATGTAGTGATTGACCATTGTGCATTGTTCATTAACATGAGGAGCGATTTCATACAGTCGTTATTTTGCCATTCATTTTCCCAGATATTTGTTTTAATTTTTCCAAGATGAAATTAAGGTAGGATTTTGGCCAAGGATGCTGTATTATTGGAGTTATAATTGCATGTTATGGATGATTTTGCAGCTGTATCAGCTTCCTCGTTCCCCATGATTCTAACATCAGCTTTGATCCATGAGATTCCTGGAGATAGGTGAAGATGTAAGGTGCTTTCGATAATTTGTTGAATCAATTCAGGTTTATGCTTAGTATTTTGGAGCATTAGAATTGATGACTGACTATCTGTAAAGATGTTTATTTGCTGCTAGTTGTTAATTATTGAATAATCAATTGCTAATTTTATTGCTACGAGTTCAGCTTGAAAAATGCTATTTTCTTTGGCAAGACATGCTTTTAGTGTAATTTTTTGGTTTTGTAAGGTAATACAAGCACACCCAAATCCTAATTCCATTTTAGAGCCATCTGTATAGATAATAAGGTAAGAGGAGTACTGAGCGGATGTTTACTTACAGTTATTCAGTCCTGTCGAAGGATGATAGATATTCCAAAAAAAGAAGGAAATGAAATAGTAGATTCTAACAACAAATATTTCCCTGCCCAGAACTGAGGCATGTGTCAAAGTCTAAAAGAAGATTCCAAATCTTTCACTTAAATTCAAATTTATTAATATTTACATCTGAAACCAAACGAAAACCACAGTTCAAAAACAAATTCATGAAATACAGATAACATTGTCACACACAAAAAAATCTAATCATTAAAAGTGTCTAAAATTACTTTTCATATTCAAGAGTGATGTCATATTTCATGGAACTCATAATAATTTATCCTTTCAGCTGGTGTAGAGCCAATTCTCACAGCGCCAATCACATTGTCTTTCAGAAAGGAAAAGCTGTTTTCCAGCATCTTTTGTTTTCAGTAACTTTGAGAATCCTGAGATTCGCATGCACATGGGCAGTGCATATTGAACGAAAGTAAATTCCCTCCCCATTCTCATACAGAAAACAAAAAAAAAAAAAAAAAAAAAAAAAAAAAAAAAAAAAAAAAACTTTTAAACCTTTTCTTCTTTCTTAAATATCTTATTTGTCATTTTGGAGAAAAATAAAAAAAATAACAGTCTGTCATCTAAACTATTCATGTAATATATCTATATTCACCAAAATACCATTGATTTTTGTAATTAATCTTTTAATCCTTACATAATAAAATTTGTTTTAACATTTTTTGTATCATTTAATGTGTCTTCTTCCTACTAATTTTTTTTTTTTTTATTATTATTATTATTAGTTAATACTTTCAAATTCCAGGCAATTTTCTGTGGCATACTTGTAAAACTAATTCTAGCAGTAATATGACATACCATTATGAAATTTAGTGCACATATTTTTTACTTATGTATGCTGCTAAATAGATATTAAACTATTTGAATTTATTTGAAAATATCATTAAATATATTTCTGTCTTCCTTTAGCTGCAAAATGTTTGCAGAAAAGACATTAATAAATCCTGATTGGGCAGAATCTAATCTCAGTTTCAATCTCATTTTAAGCAAAGCTGAAATCATGACAATGCAAACATATTATGGTTTAACAATTTGTTGCAGTATCAATACTGCATTAGATGAGATGGTGAAATCTATATGGGCAATTTATTTCAACAAATTGTCGACACATGCAAATTCTGAGCATGGCCTTTCCGTACACATGATGATTCTGGGTGTGGCTACAATAAAGCCATATGAATTGGTAAAAACTATGTCCATAACATGCTTTGCCAGAATCCATTATATTAGATGTTAAAAATGTGTTCCGAAGTCTCTCTTACAAAAAAATTCTGTCAAAGTGCACTCATAGAACAACTCTAAACTCAAATGAAAGTGGTAATAATTGCCTCTGGACATTCGTACCCAAAACTGTTTTTGTGAGTGTCATCACATTAAAATTAGGCTTGTGAGATGTGGTAATATGTTTTAATGATAGTGTACAAAGCCACAATAAAATAATGGAACTATTAGGAATACAACTAGGATTTTATATGGTAAAATCTTTGTAAAAATAGATTGATAGAATTTGTGAGGTCCATCTCGCTCACCAAAACTTTCTAAAATGGCCAGAAAGAAAACTAAATTAATAAAATAAAAGCAACTTGACGTGGAAATGTCAGTTCAAAATGATTATGGTGCAGGAAAATATAAAAATGAATTTTTTTTTTTAATAAATTACTTAGAGTTTACCCTTTGCAGCACAGTGTGTCCAGTCTGGACACACCTAAAAATTTTCTTCTGTACCCACAGTAAAATTGAATGAAAAAGGATTTATAGATTGCTCTGAACCTTTTTTATTTATAGTAGATGGCAGCTCAACACAAACCAGCCCATATATTTTAGCCATGTTAATTTTTTAAGACCCTCATTTTTCAAAGAAATCTTCCAGATTTTTTTTAGGGTATGAAAGGAATTGTTTGAAAAGAAATTTCTATGTTATTTTTTTGACTGTATGCTAATCTCCTTATTGTATATTAGTTTTACATTTTTACCTTGAAATTTGACTGAAATCAAACTGCGAACCCTAGGTGTGCCCAGACCATGGTCACCGATAATCAAGGACAACTGAGAGTCTGTATTCTTTGTTTCTCTTCATCTTGTCGGTCAGTTCATTGACAACAATGCTGTTTCAGCACTCTTTTCGACAGAAATAAACGATAAGTGCTATCTTCACAAAATTTTACTTGTGTACTCCTCTAGCCCTAATTAGACTGCCTACCCTTTTTTTTTTTTTAAATCAAAACTCCAACTTTAAAAGGTAGCGTGCCGGAAAGGGTTAAACATTTCCCCCTCCTCAAAATGTGTTTTTCTTAACTTTCAATACTATTCTTCAAACTGCTCAACCTAGAAGGTTTAAATTTTTAACAGTTGATGATCTTAATTACTTCTTTGAAAGTATGCAGGGCGTAAATTTTACGAGCTTTAGTATTATTGGATATATTAAAAAATTAATTTTTTTTTCCAAAACGTTTTACTAATTTTTAATATTTTTCTTTTAAAGTAAAATGTAAAATACTGCTTATTATTCTTAAATGATATGTTTTTCACCATCATGCAACATTTGAAGAATTTTGGTGAAGTAATTAAGAAAAGTGTACCAAACTAACACACTGTCACAAGAGATTTGTCAAAGGTAAGTGAAGTTAAACAACTAGTTTTTAAAAACATTAGGCATTTAATTTATATTTCATGTATTTTAAATAAAGAAAAAAATTGAGTGTATAAGTTTAGTTTGACAAAAGTTATACCCTGGCAAATTTTGTCTTGAAATAGTTGCATTTTGTCAGTCGAGGTGTCACATGCCGCCTTGTATGGAACTGTGAATTTTATTGAAAGAGAAAACAAGTTGAATTCCTGTAAAATATGCACAATTTTATTGCTAATTGTTTTTTTAATCACTTGGTAAAAATTCTCATTTCATCACATCAAAAAGCACAGTGTTAGGAGATGATAAGATTTCTGTTGTCATTTCCTTCTTTTCATCGATTAGCAGTAAAATTGCCTATATTTTACAGAAATTCAACTTTCAGTTCATTTTTGCTTCTGCCAATGAAATTTGCAGTTCCATACTTAAGGACACCATTCTAAATATGATCTCCTGGGGTATATACTGGATTCCTTGCCAGTGTCGTTTAATTTACATTGGTCAAATTAACCTTAAAATTTCATACGAAGGAGTATGAGGCATATGTTAGGAAAAAAGAAACACATCCATACACTGTTGGTCAGAAATTCATATTTTCTATTTTTTTCAGCCGAAATTACTCAAAAATCATGTTCTGTTGTCAAATTAGATTTTCTGGAGGCTTTTCACATTAAAAAAAATCTCTGTTTCAGTTAACTGCTGTTCTGAATTTTTGAAGGTTCTTGAGAGTGATACGCAGTAGTGTAAAACGTGGTTCCCTACCAAAGGAGTAAATACACTTGCTGTAAGTTGAAAACATAAGATTTAATGTGTGGGTTCCTTGAATTTAACAAAATAGATAAATGTATCATGTTAGACTATGACAGCTAGTAAAAATATATGATGAATAACAAATGAACGTACTTAGCCACGGTACAGCAGGATATGAGTCTACTAGATGCAGTTCATTCAGCCAGGCAGGTACTTGGTAGCATAGTAAATTATCCAGGGTACTGTTTTAAGATTCTTGTTGCAATCTATTCTTGCATAGCCATATCCCACTGCAGGTTTCCATGCCTTGAATTCGTCACACCATGCTGGAATGATTCACGGCTGTTGGCCACATCAATAAAGCATATCAGGAGGAGACACAGTCATCGCCTCACTTCTTGTGGATTCTGCTGCAGCATTATATATTTTACTTTTTTTCTGGCCAGCACAGCCACAAAGGAGAAATGCAAATTTCCCAACATTAACAATCCCAATTCCATTCCCTCTTTATCCTTGACTTTCAAGAAAATTATTTCATAGCCATTTATGTTTTTCATCAGTAGATTGTGCCAGTAGCTTGACTTTTTTTCTTTCATTCTTATACCTGAGCACTGGTTTTTGTCATTTGCACATCTGCAAGTAAGCAGGTTTTATATTTTAACCTTTGAAACTAGTCCTTCAAATTTATGAATATTATACTAACTCTTGTTGCTCTAACTCCTATAATAATTCATATCCGGCTTGTCACTATAACTCAAAGAAAGCGTAGTGTAAACTTTTGGGCTGAAATATTCAGGCAAATGGGGAGGAAAACAGGAATATCCTGTATTGACAAACTAAAATCTGTTTTTGCTTGTTTCTGTGGAACCACTGATGAAAATGATCTGTATTATATGTTTAAAAATAATATAATTAGTTGTAAACAATTCTAACTCTGTCAATCGCATTGCTAAATTTCTTATGCCTGGCACTGTACCAGTAGCTGAGTGGTTAAGATGGCTAAATACTAGAATTTCGACCTGTATTCAATCCCAGGTGAAGGGACTAGCTAGCTGCATAGTTGGTTTTTCCCATCTGTAACATTAATTAAAATCAGTTTCTGCAAGAGAATCCTCCATGAAGGATCCTTCCACATAGGCAGATAGCCCCCATGCACTTTGCCACATTGAAATAATCTAACTACACTGGAAAAACGTTGGAACATCAATGTTAAATTTTTTTTTAGATATGTATTGCAGAAATTAAGAATAAAATACTTTCATGCATGTAATGTATTGTTTCAAATAAGCATCTAGCAGAGTGTATTTCCAGATTTTGTGTAATAATAGCATTAATAAAACAGAACCGTATTGTATTATTTATGGGAGATATTTTTAGAAATATTAGAGCATTTGTGCTGTTTAATTTTGAATGGCAAAGCTATGTTTATAAACTGTATCAAACAACTAAATTTTTAAGCATGATTTTTCTGGTAACCAACAAAAGTAAAAAAGTAATGCGTTTATATTTTTTGCTTGTAGAAACGCTTAGTCTCAGAAAAGAAGTATAGTGAAAGACGGCTAGATGTTTTATCTGCCTTAGTTTTAGCAGAAAAGTCATTAAATGGTCCAGGCACAAAAGAAAGGCGATTGATTACATATCTTGCTATGTCACTTGGTGTGCAAATGGTTTGTAGAAAATCCCTTTATTACTTTGTTTTTATTAGTTTCATGGCTTGAACTGAATGTCTAAAACAGGTCACATATTTTCAGAAGTCATTTAAGGAAGATGAAGTAGTGAGCTTTGCTGGTGTGATGAAAGAATTAGATTTTATATGTGATCTTAGACAAAAGTGAATATGTCTTCTATGTTTTCTCTTGTTTTTAATGTAAAATTTTCTTAAATAATTCTATTTTAATATTTTACAGAAACTAAAATTTAATTGATATTGTGCATCTTTTGTTTTGATGCAGTAGTTGTATTATTAGTCTGATGATTAGTTTATTGCTTTATAGTATACAAAAAATATGTTTGTTATTTTTTATGTAGAATTAAAGAGGCTTGTGACTGCAGTTTTATGTATTGGCATCATATTGTGTTTCCTACCTATATAGCTGAGATTTATGAAACTGGAGTTGATATTCACCGAATCAAAGTATTTTTTACTTTATTTTCTCATCTAATTCTTAAAATGATGTGACAAGAATTAATTTGAGCATGCTTAATCTGATGATATGTTCTAAGAATAATAAGAATTCTGATAATTAATTTAATAAAAATTCTGATGATTTATTCTTAATAATAAATATTGCTGTTCATGCCTCAGTTTTCTAACAGAGTTTGCTCTGATGTTAAGAAACTTACATGTAAGAAATTTACTGTTATGGAGGAGAACTTAAGTTTTAGTTGAGGCAGTGTTCAAATGTTGGGTATTTATATTTATTGAAAGTAGGAAAAGTCATATTTAGGATACAAGAATGTCCAGATTCACCTGGCAGACTATATTTATTCCGGTTTCATAACTTTTGTATCCTGATGAATTTCAAGGTGCGTCCAAAGGCATTTTGATTTTCACCTTGAATACAAAATTTCAAGATAAAATGCTTTCACCTGCTGTCATTTTCATAGCACGGGTGGGGAATTTTATGCCAAGCATCATCACTGATTAATCAGCAGTAACATCACAGGGAAACTATTTTACTGTGATTTGGAGCATGTATATTATTTTCATTTTCTTCTAAATCAGGTTTAGTAATACAGTATTCTTGGATTTCTTCATGCAGTAAAAAGTACTTATTTCATTAGATGTTTGTCATTGACCCCCATGTGTTATTTTGTTTTACTTCTATCAAAAAATTTCTTAACTGGGATTTATATACTGCGTCTATGAGCAAACCTGCTGATAATGTAGCGTCACTATGTTCTTATGCATACTTTTATGAGTTTGAAACTAATTGCAACTGCACAAATTTTTAGGTATAACAAATTTTGCTTTTATGCTGAGAGTTGATTTTATTGTATGATTTATTTATGTGTGCATTTATTTAATGTAATGCTGTTGTCCAAAAGTTAAAGAACAAACAGAAAAAGTTGCATATTCACTGAAAGAAACAACGTGTCATAAAATTAAAATGTGCAAGTGTGTACAATGCGCAAAAAAGGAGGGGGGACAGTTCTACACTGGTGTGCAAAAATTAAGGACGAGACGGTTTTTTCAATATAACTTTGTACAAAAGCTTTCCAAATCAACACATTTAATACCGTAAGATCTCCAATACGTAAGGACATGAGTAATGTAAGCAACACTTACTAAAAGAGAAATCAGAGGGATAAAAAGAAGCTTTATTGAAAAAGTAGCATGGAGCGCAATGCGACTGAAGGCCGAAACATCCCTGTGATGGGTGTCCAGCACGAAACATCCGGTCTTTAATAGGGGATATGATCTCCCCTGACTGCTAGGCAGGTTTCACAGCGTCTGCCCATGCTGAGAATGAGGGTGTCAATGAGTTGTTGAGGCATTGCTGCCCATTCGTCTTGCAGCACCAATCGAAGCTCCAGAATCGTTACTGGTGGTAAGGTACGAGCTGCCAAGCATCTGCCTAGAAAGTCCCATACATGCTCGATGGGATTGAGATCCGGAGATCGTGCCGGCCAATCCATACGTTCAATATCCTCACTCTCTAAGAGCTGTTCGGCAGCTACTGTGCGATGACATGGTGCATTGTCGTCCATTGAAAGGAACTGCGGACCCATAGTGCCTCTAAAAAGACGCACATATGGAAGAAGAATCTCGTTACAATAATGGGTCCCGTTGCCTGAACCTGCGTCGAAGATGTGAAGGTCTGTACGACTACCAAGCATGATGCCTCCCCAAACGAGAACACCGCCACCTCCATACCTGTCCCTTTCAATGATGTTCGAGGGATGATTGCGGCTTCCCTGCTCTCTCCAGATGAGTATGCGATGAGAATCGCTACTCAGACTGAATCTGCTCTCATCTGTAAAGAGTACTCGTCCCCATTCATTGTCCCTCCAATTCCGGTGTTCCCGGCACCACAGAGTACGCCTTCTCCGATGGGCAGGCGTTAGAAGTACACACCGTACAGGGCATCGTGCAAACAGACCACCACCGTGCAGTCTTCTGGCCACGGTAAACGCGATATCGGTCGTCCAGTCGCCTGTGTCGTGTGTCTAGCGATTTCTCCCGCTGTCTGCCGCCTGTTCTTTCTGGCCTGTAAGGCAATATACCGGTCATCTGCGGGTGTGGTTCCTCGTGGACGACCACTACTAAACCCCAGGATAGCTGTTCCTGTAGTTTGAAATTGTCTCCAAAGTCGTGAAACAATGCTGTGAGCAATTCCGAACTCTGCAGCCACACTTGTCACACTGCGGCCTTCCTCCAACTTCCCAATGATTCGACCTCGGGTAAAAGCATCCAGATGTCGTCTAACAGATTGTTTATTCGCCATTTCTCGCTGAGGCAGCAACTCGGTGTGATTTTAACTGCTATACGGCGTGCAATATCTTTGTCAGAAATACTGATCTTACACCGACAACATGCTTTATTCTACTCAGACACTCCCCCATTACGTCTACCTGCATATCTGCGCATGTGCTACCGTACATCACCTTACTTAACCTCCTGATTGGTCTTTCTGTCCGCTCTGCCTCTTCGTTCAGCTGATATGCTAATTTTTTCGACTTCGTCCTTAATTTTTGCACACCAGTGTATATCTCATATTCTACTGGGCTGATTGATAAAATTTGAATTGCATTTTCATGTTTCAAAAACGTGACTTAGGATATATATTATTAGATTTATATTTTCACACAAAACTCGGACTTTTTCTGAAATGACATGCCAGGTTTTTTTCCATATTTAGATTCGATGACTCGGATTATGCCTAAATATTACATTTTATAAAATTTGGTGCGAAATTTACGGAGAAATTCAAAAATTTATCCTGCCACATATTTTTCAATTTATGCTAAGAATAATTCACTTGGAGAACTTCTTAATATGTGGCAAAATAGTTTGCTTTCCCTTTTTACATTGTGCATAAGCAGAAAAAAAGCCATTGTTCATCATTTCAAATATTTTTAAAAAAGTGCGTAAACCACATTTGGCGTTATTATCACTTATAATAAGTATGCCAAATTTCAAAACATGCCAATATCTAAATTCACATATATCCTAGGAAATTTTGAATTAAAAACTCTTAATTTTTTACAGGTATGCTTAAAAATACGTCTACTTTAAGGATGATGGTAAAAATTTTATAGGTTATAATTCAAAATTTTTTCAAAAAATTTATAAAAATTATTTAAAAATACAAATTTAAAAAATAAAGCATAAAAAAGGGCAAATTTTTTTTTTGAAAGAACCTAAATTTCGAATTCTGGAAAAAGGAATCAAGTAAGTTTAATAGAAAAAAAGAAATATTAAAAAATATATACCAAATTCAATTAATATTGAGGAGCAAAATTTTGAGAGCTAATTTTTTAAAAACTACTTGTGTGATTTCAAAAAATCGTTTGTGCAAAGATTTTCCACATAAAACTTCCTGGTGTATGATGCAGTGAATCAACGGGCAATTAATGCCATTTTCTTTAAGAAGTCCCACGAATCCTGTCACGTCCACGTAGCTTTTGCTCCATCAGTTACGATGCAAGAGCATTTTTGAAATCCTCCGTAGTCTATGACAGTTTTATTGACAGCTAGAAAGATATCAGCACTTTTGGTTGTTTTGTGTAATGGTATCAAATTTAACATTTCCTCTGTAATAGTAAAATCTTTTGAAATGCAACAAATAAATATAAATAATTGACTGATATCTGTCTGGTCAATACTTTCATCTAAACATATTGAGTAGTATTTGCAATCACATAATAGTTTTGAAACATATTCGCCCATATCATCTACTCGTCACGATATTGTATGGTGAGATAATGCTACAGATTCAAACTCTTCCACAAACTTTGGCTACATGAAGTGTTGAGCCATTGAAACTGCACATTTTTTTCATTAAAATCCCATCACTGAATGGTTTTTTTGCTTTGGCTAATAGTAAAGGAACTTCATAAGATGCAGCCAAACTTTGTTCATTATCTGTACTTACTTTTGAAAACATACTTGTTTCATGTATTAGGTTTTTTTTTTTTTTTTTTATACTCGGCTGCAATAATTTTTCTTACTTTACCGATAATTTTTTTATACTTTTCTTCATGTAAAGTAGTATAGTGACATTTCACATTGTATTCCTTATTCACCGACAAAACTTGCATACAAATCATACACTGAATTTTATTATTATTGTTGCAGATCAGATAGTCTAATTTCCATTTTTCATTAAATGCATGATTTTCATCACTTATGTTTTGCTTCTTCTGAGACATAATGAGGTTTGTTATTTTGCAATAGAGTTGTATTTACTAATTAGTTAAATCACGAGTTTAAATTGACAAAAGAAATAAATGAAGGAGTGAGCTCAAATTGCACACAACCACTGCAATTACTAAATAGTTACTACACAACACTCGTCGTGTAAAATGACAACCAATAAATAAACAACAATCAACAGCCAGTGCTATTTCACTCCCCGATCGTGTGGCATTTTGGCAGGGAAAGCTCGGCTGACGGGTAGCAGGAAAATGATACGCAATCTAATAACTGTTGTAGCACGCGACAATAAGGTGCAAGTGAAATTTTCTCCAGTGTGGTACTCCGGAATTCAAGCCAAGTTGCCGATAAGCTGCAATTTTAATGCCCAACAGCGTTTCTTCTGTTGAGTTGGGCGGCTTTTTAAAAGATCAGAGCAATGCAACTTCTGTTATTCTGTGGAGTGGCTTTGAGCGGAGACGGACAACCGCACTTGGCCGTGAATAAGGCGCTAAACACGAGTGGGGACGGGACTCACAAATATGATTCAATATTTTAGTTATTTATTTGTAATATCATATAAAATAAAATAATTTCTACCAACAAAATTTGAAATTTTTAAATCGATTAAATTAAATTCTAATAATATTGCTTAATAATGTGTTGGCGATTCTCTACCTAAATTGCATCCCTGTTCCTAAATTTTGGCGAAATCCTTTCTTTAGTATAAAATATATTAACCTGTTGGCGCCCGCCAAATCACCAAACTCATAAAT